GTATCAACAGGAAGCTGGTTTGGAAGTAGGGAGCATCAGGGACTTCAACCATATACTTTGAAAATAGATGTGGGTGTCCCAAGCAGTGGCTTAGCCCACTGTGCCATAATACCCTCCCCCCCAAACAATCTTTTTAAAATATATACATGTGTTTCTAGTTTTGTTGCAGGCCAAAACAGGAATGGAATATTTTCTAATATGTTTCACTAATTCCAGGGATTAATGATGAGAACTCTCCATGCTTCCTACTTCTTAACGCTGGCACGGTCCCACAAAGAGCTGCTGGTCCTGACTCTGGCCTTGACAAGCTTCCCACCCCGCTCACCTCCTGAACAGCATTCCTTCGAAGCAAAAATTCCTTTAGTGTTTGTTATTCTCTGAATGTGCTCAATCTTGCAAGAAATTTGGCAACGTGTGTGGCTATCCCTCAACTGCATTCATGTCTGGAATATTGAACAATTCTGAGAGCTGTAAACTAAGAGTTTCCAGAAAAACTCCCACCAGAGCAGATTTCCGTTTCAGATGAATCCCAAAAGATCAAACTGTTTTTTTTTTTTTTTTTTATCTGATTCAAACTGCTACTCCCATGCCTTCCTTTGGTTATTGTTCTTACTTGTCTTGTTCACTTGGAAAGCATTTTGCTTTTTTTTTTAAAGCAACCTTTTTTTAAAGCACCCTTTGTATATTCAAGGCCTTCCTAACCTTTCAATATGCCTGCCCAAAAGATGTGTAATTAGAATGGTTCTTGGGACAACATCAAAGGTGTCTCTTGATATACACAAAGGAGAAGAAAAGACAATTTAGGTGAAAGGTACAAGTTACCAAAAACACCGAGAAGGTCTCTATTTCCTAGTTATTATTTTAACTGGCACCTCATAGAGTAATTATACTTTTGCCCGACATTTTGAGACATTATAGGTGTCAAGATATGTGTCTATGCTAAGCTATTATCATCTAATAAACTGATTTTAAAAATTACAATCCATACTCTCTCTCAAGCAGACCAGACTCACGATCCTCGGGGCTCGACTCTTCCATATAAATCCCCTGCTGCTCATAAGAAGATGAGAATTATTAAAAGCATGGATAAAATATATGCATAAGCATACCAGGAATAAATGATGAAGAGCATGGGGGAATGACACTGCCTGAAAGCTCGAAGCTGAGGCTCTGGGGTTGGAAGTTGTAATAGCTGAGATCTTTAGAACAGGCTCAACTCAACAATTAGTTTCTTCCAGTCATCTCAGTAACCTCAGTAATCTCAGTGGTTGGACCCGTCTGTCAGGAGATTGTTGTTGTTTATAAAAACTGAAACAATTACAATCACTGGCCAGCCGGGCTATAGTCTGGTTTTCTGGTTCAGCAGAGGATAAAGCCCAGGATGGAGAGCCAGAGCACTTCACTGGAAGCATGCTGGGTTCAGCATGCTGATGTCTCCAGATTGGGTTCAGTGTTCCTTGTTTCAGTTCCAAGTTCCCAACAGAACCTGATGTTTACAGCCATTCGAGGCAGGATCACATTTTATGGTCAGCTGTTTTTTCTTGCTAACTTATCTTCTTATTAGATTTTTGAGGTCCTTGAAAATAAGGAAGAGAAAGTTTTTTTTTTTAACATCTGTAATTCAAAATCCAGCATTCTTTGTAGCAGGAGCACTCAGTAAGCCTTTTTTGGATGCAATGTAATTTGACTTAGGTCTCAATTCATATTTGCTCAAAAAATTCTTCCTTAAAATACTAATTACTCCCAGATTGCCTGGCAGAGGCATTCCTAGGACTGGATCCTGTGTTGGGTGCTGGGACAATGGTTCACAAAACCCTGGGAACACATGCACCTGCAGAGCGGGGCGCCCAGCCTTGGTTTCTGGCTCAGTTCTTCTTCCAGCTTCCTGCTGATGGGCATCCTGAGGAGTAGCAGGCGATGGCTCAAGGACTTGGGTTCCTACCACTTCCTGCCGGGGTACCTGGCTTGAGTACCCTGGCTTTGTATTGGCCCAGTGCTGCCTGTCGCGGGCATTAGCAGAGTGGGCCAGTAGCTGGGAGATCTCCCCATCCCCCCGAGAAGAAGGTATTCCTTTAAAGCATTATAAGATTCGTGTCTTCTCCTTCTGTCACCAGGGTGTTTTAAACCAACATGGCCTCCACATACTCAGAATCCTGGGTATTTTTCTTTAGAGTTGGTACACTCTTGGAGGGAACCTTTTCGAGGTAGGAGACACCTGCTAACCACACACATAGCGAGGAGGAGACAATGAAATCCTTGGTCTTCTACCACAGACAGACTTAGGTGACCATTTAAATTTATCAAAGAAATGAATTATTAGAGACTTTACGCCTTGAACAGAGATTTTGTAAAAGGTTCTCCTTTGCAGAAATTAAAAGAAAATAAGGAAAAGAATGGAGAAGTGGGATTGTGGGAGGAAAGGAAGGAGAGGACAGGAAGAGGAAGGAAAGCATATGCTTGTCTCTTTTAGCGCTGTACCTATCAAATACAGGAATTCTGTTTTCTGTATTCATAAACATGTTTAAAAAGCTAATACATATATTATGCATTTTTCTGGGAAGGAATTAAGTTACTTTTAGCTAGATTTTAAAAAAATATTTATTTTTATTATAAAGTTAGATTTAAAGCGAGAAGAGACAGAGAGGAAGATCTTCTCTCTGCTGCTTCACACCCCACGCGGCTGCAGTAGCCAGCGCTGAGGCAATCCGAAGCAGGCACCTCCTCCTGGTCTCCCATGGGTGCAGGGTCCTAAGATTTTTGGTCGTCCTTAACTGCTTTCCCAGGTTATAAGCAGGGAACTGCAAGGGAAGTAGAGCAGTCGGGAAATGAACTGGCACCCACATGGGATTCTGGTGCAAGCAAAGTGAGAATTCCAGCCACTAGGCTATCACGCTGGACCCTTTAACTAGATTCTCCCCCAACCCCTACCTGTCGCAAAGGGCTCTGAGGCCCAAAGAAGGCTAATGCCTCCTGTTTAGTGCAAGTAAACTGAATTTGACTTTCAAATAGGAATATTAAGAGAAGGAAGATGTCCGAGCCTCTTCCTATTTCTTACACACCCAGCACACAGCAATCAGTAGGGGTTTCTTTGGACAAAATACACGGATTAGAAGAGCAAAGTTGACTTGAAAAATCACCCAAGAATGACATCACTTACCACTGGGTTTTGTCCTACAAATTGTGGCAAGAGTTACTGCCAAGACAGAGGCAAGCTATCCCCGACAAGTGCCTACCCCAAGCCATCCTGAGACGGGCAAGGGGAGTCAGGCGCGTGTCTGGTGAGCAGCCACAGCACTGAGCCGGGTCACTTAGAGGTTTTTTTTCTTTTGATAGGTTGAAAGAGCAACATCATACTTTCCTATTTATTTTATCCATGTCAGAAGTTTCCATAATAAAGGATTAATATATATGATATTAGAAAGTCAATGTAATTAAAGTGTAAATACAGACCATAACGAGAGGCCAGGAGATGTGATTAGTAACCACCGCCTGTTCACAAAGGAACATATTCATTGATGCAGTCATTTTTAAAAAAATATGTATTTATCATGATTCGGTTCCACAGGCTCAGGGACTTCTTCCACACTTCCCCCTCCCCTCCTAAGTTTCTCCCTATATTCTAACAATAGCATAATCCTTCAGTGGCAGTCACAGGTCCAAATTCTGCTATCTAAATGTGTCCTGACATTGTAGGTATAGACAATGGCAGACAGTCCAGCATCCTATTGTCAAGATATATTTAAGAGTTTCACTGGGATTCCTTTATTCAGGAGCTAGAGACGCACACTGCAACATACCATCTTCACTTCTTGGCATGCTAGTCTCCATCATACGGTTCCTCTAGGGGAGTATATGTGTGTACATGTTTACTTCTATTTCTATTGATTTTGTATTTTGCATGAAGGTTGCCTTCTATCACTGAAAACATTTAACATTTGTCCTCTTAGGATTGACTTATTTCACTGAGCGTAGTGGTCTCCACTTGGGACCATTTTGCAGCTGAGAAAGACGTAACATGTCCTTGGGAAAGAAAGCAAGGGGAGCTAGGTGCTCTCCCAGGCTGTCTGCAGTAATGGGATGAGAGTAGGGAATTTATCTGAAGGTGTGAGGGCTTCAGGTGAGGACAGGGACCAGTTTACTGAAGCATTTTGGGCAACAACCCAACCACCTTTATCAGGGCCAGGAATGTTCAAGAACTGGCTTAGGCTGAAACCTTCTGGTCAGAGCGGCACTCCGTGACTTTTTTTTTTCCCGCATCAGGACACAGGATTGCTGCTGACGGCTCAGAGCTGAAGGGGCCTGGTGGAAGCCCCCTGTTACTCCTACCCCACTCATCATGGGGGTGCCATCTTGCAAGGGTTATCGGGAGGAGTTGACCTGTTTTTGAAGCAGTAAGAATTTTCTGTTTTGGTCGTGTATTTAAAATTTCCATGTCCAAAAACTATCACTAACTTTTATTTGCATAGTACTTCTATTTGTGGCGATTTTACATTAGAATCCCACACGACTCCGTGGGATACAGGTCTTCGAGGGAGCACAACTTTGGTGACATACTAATGAAGCCCGGTTTCCTTCAGATAGGAGGCTTCTATTGTCTTAGTTCCTTTCCTTAAATGGAAAGGAAAAGAGCAATGATTCTGTGAGATCCCCTTGCACACAGGTCTGTACCAGGGAGACCAGAGCAATTTGAAACAGCAGGTGACTTTCACAACAAAGCTCGCTTGGCCAAAGCTCGCTCCGCCACCACTTCCTCACCCCAAAGCAAAAAGAGAGAGAGAAAAAAAAGCACACTTAAAAAAAAAGAAAAGCAAGAGCGTAACTGGCTGGCTCAGCAGATGTTTTGCCCTGTTGTAGTTGAGAACAGAGCATGACTTAAGGCCCTTCCTCCCGCCCCCGACTGTACCATTAAATCCTAGAGGTTGGGGAGACTGCAAAAGAACAAGGGCTAAAGGAGAGATTGCTAGACTCTCCCCTCCACTTCCTGCACAGTGGCACTTGTCGCTTTAAGTTCAGAATAATCATAACCAGTTCAGGGCTTGCAAGGTCACCGCAAAAGTGAGCATTGAACTTTGCACTCCAGCTGAGGGGAACATAAACAACAGGACTATAAATACCAGAGGCTCTGCTGCAGCTTCACGGAGCTGCCCCAGCCAAGCAGAGAGAAAGGAAGCAGGCCAGGGAAGGCGATTGTGTAAGTATATCTGTGTTTCGCAATGCTTCTTTAAAGTTGGGTAAATACTTTGAGTCTGATTAAATTTGTTTTTTTTTTTTTCTTCCCCCAAATAGATTTAGAAAAGTGAGTGAAGGAAAATCAAATTTTTTAAATACGAAAGAACAAACTAATACTAATAAAAAGATCTTGACTGTGGGTGTGGGGTGTGGAGTTCTCACGGGCAAGCTGACAGTTCCCGTTTGATTTCTCCCCTGCCTTCTGCAGAGCTGGGGAGCTGGGAAAACCAGAGCTTGGACTTTACAGAAAGCTATGCTATCATATAGGGACCAGTACATGTTCACATTTGAACATGTTCTACTTAGAGTGAAATTAGAGTGAGAGTAAATTAGAGTGAGAACTGTCAGGGGAAAAAATAGCCACAAGGATTTGGAAAACAGAGATTGAAACGCGCTATCTAGGAATAGGGCAGGTGGTTTCAGAAAAACAAGAGAGCAGCTTGAAGGAGAGGAGTGGGGCAGAGCAGCTAGTGCACGCTGCCGATGGGGTCCTCCTTAAAGGAGTTGCAGTTCTGATTATAATCTGTGCTTGGTGATTAGACACAAAGTGGAGAATGGAGGCTTTCTGGGAAATACGGGGCTTTCAGATGCTGGTCTGAAGTTAGGCGGAAAGGAAGGAGAACTTTTTGCATGCTCTGCCTTTTAAAGGGGACTTTTGAACAGATGTAGGTCTGTAGGTGGACATTAAAGCTAGATTTTGTAATTGAAATTCACTACTGAGATGTACATTTTAATTTCTGGTTTTTATTGGATCAACTTCTAGTATATTCAGTTTTGAGACTTATTTTTTTAATCTATATGATAGCCATAGTTATAATAATAAAAGTTCATTGTATAAGGAATAATTTTAAGAAAATGAAATTGAACAGCTTGTTGCCTGTAATGACAGGAAAACCTAGAAGTATAAAGTCTGTAAGCTTATACCCTTTGACACTGGCTTGGTTTTTCATCCAAGAATCTGATGCGGAGGGCCTGCCAGGCTGACATTCCATATGGCTGCCAGTTCAAGTCTCATGGCTCAGCTTTCGATCCAATTCCCTGTTAGTGTCTGGGAAAAGCAGCCCAGTACTTGAGCTGCTGTCACCGGAGTGGGAGACCCAGCTGGGGCTCCTGGCCCCTGCTTTCTGCTTGCCTCATCTGGGAAGTGAATCAGATGATGGGAGATCTCTCTCTCTCTCTCTCTGAATGCCTCCTTTTTCTTTGTATCTCTTAGGAAAATAGTCTTTTCATTTATATTCCCTCTGAGTTAACTGTGTGCCTGATGACACAATGAGAGTACCAAGTGTGGAATACATGCTGCAAGTTCTATAACACCTGAATTTACGGATTAAAAATAGGGATAATTTAGCCCCTCGATTAAAAAATAAAAGAGCTTGAGCATCATTGTTCTCTTGACCATCCTAGGGCATAAATAAAAAACAAACCCGGATGCTATAATTATCATATGCCGGAGTAAAGAGCTCATGTATAAGATTTGGCAGAACTGTTTTGAATCCAGTCTCTTTGTGACTTCACTGTCGATAGGATCACAGATAAGGTGCCCGACTCCTAGCCACCACAGCTGCCTTAACAGAAAACGGGTGACAGTCACAGCAGTGCTAAGGACTAACTTGACATGACACATGAAAGTGCATGGGGACACCTGTATATAATTCTGCAAATGCTCAATGAATGGTAGCTATAATAAACATAATTATCAGTGTAAATCTCCCATTCTAAAGAAATTTCCCAGATTTAGTCCAGGTATGGCTTCCCTTTTAAAACACTAGAATTTTTAATACAGTAATAGTTGGAATGACCTCAATGGGCCACCTTTAGTTTGACTATTACTGAAATATTCCATCTAGTAGGAGTTTGGAGGTGTTAAACTATAAAGGATAACGAGGTTTCAAAAGTTCCGTCTATATCCATTTGTGCCTTAGAGAATGGATCAATTGGATTCCTGCTGCTCTGCTTGCTTCTAAATACTGGGCTCTCTCTAGGTGGCTTATTATTAACTGTCCCCCCTCAGTCCCCAGCCTGCAAAGACTGCTTTTGGTGTTTGTTCTTAACTTTACCTAAAATGCACCAACTTTCCGGTTTTGCAATTGTGTCCAGACCTCTCCCCACCAATGTTCATATCAAAAAGAGCTGAATACCTATGTGAATTTTGCTCATTTCTATTGAATGTGTTCCTTTTCACTTTCTTGCAACTTACCTCTGTGTGTGTGTGTGTGTTTCTGTGTGTGAACGTACTGTTTAGTTCTAGGAACTTTCCAAAACCAATAGACTGGGTGTAAATTTCACTGAGTCTTAAATGATCTGTGATATTCTTGGTCAGGTTTTCCCCTCCTTTGTCCTATGTTCTGGCAGGAAGTTTTCTTTTTTTAGTCTGTTGGGATTCAATTCTTTAAATTTCAATAGCCAGACTTTGAGGCATAAAGAAATCTAGGGGACTATTCCCAATGTATTTATAAATATAGAAGGCCTGTACCGGAGGGGCTGAGAGCCCAGCATGAGTCATATCCATGTTGATACTGTGCCCTTTCTGCTTTTCCCTCCTCTCTTTCTGAGTTCTAGGGTAGTTCGTTCAGTTCCAGGACTGAATCTCCCTGTTTCTCTTCTCTCTCTCTCTCTTTTTATTGGAAAGTCAGATATACAGAGAGAAGGAGAGACAGAGAAAAAGATCTTCCATCTGCTGATTCACTCCTCAAGTGGCTACAATGGGCAGAACTGAGCCGATCCAAAGCCAGAAGCCAGGAGCTTCTTGTAAGTCACCCATGTGGGTACAGGATTCCAAGGTTTTGTGCCAACCTTGACTGCTTTCCCAGGCCACAAACAGGGAGCTGGATGGGAAGTGGGGCTGCCAGGACATGAATTAGTGCCCATATAGGATCCTGATGCATGGAAGGCAAGGACTTTAGTCACTAGGTTACTGCACTGGGCTCCTTTCCTTTCTGAGAGCAGCAGCCAGTGAAAGAAGCAGTCAGAACTTTTTGCATCTCAAACGAAAGCTGGTTGTGTTAGAACACTTTAAAATACATCTATTTTTTGGGCCCGGCGTGGTGGCGCAAGTGGTTAAAGGTCCTCGCCTTGCACGCCCGGGATCCCATATGGGCGCCGGTTCTAATCCCGGCAGCCCCACTTCCCTTCCAGCTCCCTGCCTGTGGCCTGGGAAAGCAGTCGAGGACGGCCCAAAGCTTTGGGAACCTGCACCCATGTGGGAGACCCGGAAGAGGCTCCTGGCTTCGGATCGGCATAGTATCGGCCCGTTGTGCTCACTTGGGGAGTGAATCATCGGACGGAAGATCTTCCTCTCTGTCTCTCCTCTCTGTATATCTGCCTTTCCAATGAAAAAATAATAAAAATAAATCTAAAAAAAAAAATAAATAAATAAATAAAATACATCTATTTTTAGGGAAGAGTCTAGCTTCCTGATCAGGTGGATCTCCATAGCATGCCTAACCAAGAATATCTTGCCAGGACTTAGTTGTGATTGCTTTGCCAAGGCCTCTGCCTTGGGTTGACACCTTCCCCTTTACAGGATGATCTGTTGCATTACAGTGGAGAGTGAGTTCAACAAAATCAGCGAGCTTGAAACAGGATCAGCAGCCTAGGTATTCCTAGGAAGCAAACATCTACCTGATGGATTTCCAGGAGTTCATAGTTAGGTCTGAGAAGTCATCAATGAAGACTACAGGTTTTCTCTTTCACAGGATACAACCCCAACAATGTGGAGAAGCCTGGGGCTTGCCCTGGCTCTCTGTCTCCTTCCTTGGGGAGGAACAGAGAGCCAGGGTCAAAGCTCTGTGTGTGAGCCACCGCCACCATGGAGAATAGCAGAGGAGGATCCCATGCTGAACTCCTTTGGTTCAGTGACCGTGGTTGCTCTTCTCCAAGCCAGCTGATACCTGTGCGTTCTGCAGGCATCCAGGTGAGCTCATCTTGCTGTGGGTTAGGATATATTGAGGGTCAAGGCATTAAATACGTATGTAGTTAAGGTAACCATGCAAACAGTAAATTTGTTAAATCACAGTTTTTGAAAAAAAATGTGCATGTTTGTATGGAATATGTTAGAGGAGGAAATGGTAGGATCTGCATTAAAATGTTTACAATGGTTTTCCTGGGGTTATGGAAACTTTTTGTTTGTTGCTCTGTGTTTTATAAGATCCCACTATATATATATATATGTAGCTTTTGTAGCAAAAGTTTCCTAAAATGCACTGCTGTAAATAAATGTTGTTTCAAAATAAAAATGCAGAGTAGAATAAACACTAGACTTGCTGTCAAAGGCATTGGGTCATTTAGCAAGTGTATGCATACATAAATACATGTTGATTTATGCAGCAATTGTTTACTGGGTAGGTTTCTCTGCATCTATAAGATTAATTAAAATATATATACTTTATAAGCTTTTTGAAATCTAAGTGAGTTAGTTTGCACAGCATTTAGAGTAGGATTTTAGCTGAGCACACGCTGTAAGGAATTCTAGAAATGCAAGCCTGAGTCTTTTAGAATCATCTACAAAACAGGTATGAGTCAGTCAAAAGTAAGAAAGCGCCTCCTGGGGAATGCAATAAGGAAGAAGAAACCACTACTGCAATGATCAATTTCGTATTTCTTCCCCCCAATGTTTTAGATTGGAAGACCTGCGAATAAAACTGGAAAAAGAAGGATATTCTAATATTTCCTATATTGTCGTTAATCACCAAGGAATTGATTCTCAATTAAAATACATACACCTTAAAAATAAGGTTTCTCACCATATTCCTGTCTACCAACAAGAAGAAAGTCAAACAGATGTCTGGACTCTTTTAAAAGGAACCAAAGACGACTTCCTCATCTATGACAGGTGTGTACTCACACACACACACACACACACACACACAGCCCAGAGCTGTCTCCTTTAAAATCAAATATGGTGCCATGTTTTGATCCTGATCTCAATCTACTTCGTCACCACTAAGAGGAGAAAATCACTTCTTTGAAACTCTCTCATCATTCTGTTCTCACGACAATACACTCGGCTGGTTTCCCCCGTATTTCTCCTCCCCCACACCTTGATGCGTTCCACCCACCCCTTCCTCACTCTTCCTTTGCTTTTTCTCTGAATCATTGTGTTGTGCAAGGCTGCTTAGATTTCCTCCTTTCCACACTCTGCAATTCTCCCCAAACAACATCATGTATTTCTTGGCTACATTTACAACCTAGATTCTTATATAATCTGACGATCCCAAATATATTTACAAAGCTCAAACACAATGGCCGAATTCCACTCCATTGTGCCTACTTCACAGACACATTCAACAACTTCTCAAATTCAGTAATTCAAACCTAGAGTGATATAGCTTTTCCTAAAACCTGCTTCACCTTTAACTTTGTGCAAATTACATAAAGCAACCCTATTGAGATGGATGTAACCAGCCATTAGGGCAATCAATGTCATGATCCTCGACGTTCCTGCCAGTCATTCCATGAGATCATCAGGATCTCCCAGGCTCCAAGTGTGGTGGCCTTGCTGATAACAGCCTATCAGAGCACATGTGACTATCACCTACTTATACTGCAGCTTCTACTTTGGGTGGATCAAACTTCGGATTCGAGATCCTTGGTGTATTTATCTTGTTTTCATAAGCACTATTTCAAACTACTTCCTAATTACCTCTCTTCTTGATTTTTAATCTTTACTTGATTCCTTCCTGTGTGATATTTAAGAAGAAGTGATTTAAAACAAGACATTTACTTTTGTTTTATATGAATTATTCTGTTTCAGGAAAACTCCATTTGAGAGTTTGGTTTTAATTTTGTAATTAATTAATCTGTTATTCCATGATACAGTTGTATAGGCTGGTATTGATATTTCTGAAATGACTTTTTTGAAAGCAAGACATGAAAATGTGTTCACCATTCCAGTCAGGAAACACAGAGATCTGATGATACATTTTTTTTCCTATGGATTGGCATTTTGGGTATAAAAACCTCATGTCGTTTTCAGAGCTCAAGTTATAGCACATGTGGTTTGCATACTGCCAGAATTTATGTTAATTACATAATCATAATTGGCCAAATCACATGGTTATACCATGTGTTAAAAATATTACTTTATGAGGTATTTATTATGTTTGAAAATGCTAGTATTAGACTTACAGTCTTCTATGAACTGACTTGGGCACTCATTTGTGGACCACATCATGAAAACTTGGAGGTGTGAAAAGATTTTGATTATAAGATCATGACAGACAAAACAGTATCATGGCAAAGAATAAAAATGAGAAAAAGACCATGACACCTATAATACCTGTCCCAAATATGCTTGAGTAGAGTCATAATATGGAAAATAACATCATAACATCATATTTGTGCATTCTTTTTTTTTTTTTCAGATGTGGCCGCCTTGTATATCATCTTGGTTTGCCTTACTCCTTTTTAACTTTCCCATATGTGGAAGAAGCTATTAAGATTGCTTACTGTGAAGAAAGATGTGGAAACTGCTCGCTCACGGTACTGTTCTTGTTTTTACTGAGAAAAAAGGGCCATCTTTTAAGATCTCTATTTAAAGAAGTTCATGTTTCATGATCAACTAGCTTTTTTTGTATATGTACTAAAAATAAATAATAACTTTATAGTTATACCTTTCTTATTATATAACACACATTTTAAAGCACCATTTTAAAGATCTATATTCCTTCCATTATTTAGCAGGATTTTAGAAAATAAAAATCAATATACATCACATATTCCAATTATCACCAAATGATATTACATACGCATAGCACAGGAAGAATTTAGTCAATGTATAGAACAATATTATTGTGGAACCTGAACATGTCCACAGAAGATAATAGTGACTGCCAAACTTACCCATGGCAATACTGCACCGGAACTTAGGCCAAGCAACTACCTAATTTATCAACTACCCTACAACTAGAATCGTTGAATTTACTTGAAAATTGAGAAAATTTTCTACTCATTACTGATATTTATTTCCTAACATCCATGACAATATTTACTTTGTGTTATAAAAAGCATTAGATTTGAATATTTTCTATGAAAAGATTAAATCACTGATTTTAATTTCTATCAGTTATACTTGTTTAGCTTCATGTTGAAAAACAAATAATTCCAAACAATGTTTTCCTGATAGAGCAGATTGAACTCTGATTTTAAAATATTCTGAGTCTTATTTGTGAGCTGTATTTTCTTCAGACTTTTTTGCCAGCTCTAAAGCAAGCTATTTTAAACTTCAAAAAATCTTTGAATTTATTGTTAAGAAGCGTAACACATTATTTCAACTATCACTTTTACATTTATTCTTTGTAATTATTAAATGAAAGTTACTTTATGATTGGAAAGATGAAGAGACAGTTAATGCAAATAAAATACTACATCAATGTCTAATCCACACTACTTAATATATCCTACCTATACTGATTGCTTATATTTTGGTATTGTTAATTTTTCATCTATGCAAATGCCTTCTATTTATACATATACTCAATTACATTGAGAAAAGGGAGAAAAAAGTTCCATGGCATGCTTAAAATTTATGAGACACCTATACATCATACTAATGTGTAATCATATCTGACATGCCTCATCAAATTGAATTTGATCCCATTGTTTTCTAGAAAACATCAAATGATGTCAAATTAGGAATGTGCTGTTGGGGAAAAAGCTTCCAATTAAAGTAGGACACAATTCTAAAACACCATTGAGAGTAGGATGCATTCTAGTTTTAAAAACATCGAAAGGTGAAAAATATATACATGATAAAATCACTGAAGGATCAACTAGATTACCAGTACTATGGCCAGCTGAGTAATCACTGAAAGATGAGAACAGTATATAGTGTATTTTAAGCACTTTTCAAATTATTTATAACAACATTCTAAGTTCTTATCTATAAGCTACTCTAAGATAATTTAAAAATTGGCACTTTGTAGTCATGTGCTAAGGTCAAATGGAACTTACAACTTTTTAAAACATTCCATTTAGTGAATCTTTGGGTTCTTAAGTTAATTTTGCAATTTTATTTGCAAATCAATTTTAAGTTGAGGTTTAGATTTACATTGTGATATCTGTTGGCTCATATCCTGATTTGTGGGCACTACAAAAACAATGAAGACTCAATAAATTAAAGAATCAGAATCGTGTAGAATGTTACCTTACAGTAATAAGAAATGGGCAGAAGTTTGCTCTTTTCTGCTGAAAGTACTATGGTACAGGCGTATTACTAAAGCTCTGGTGAGGTTAAAATATTTCCTGGATGTGGGAAGAATAACAAACTAATCATTTCAGCAGTTTAAAAATATTTTTAAATGACCAGGAACTAGTTTACTTCAGAATATAGTATTCTATTAGACGCATCATTGGCCCACAAGTGACAGGTTCCATGTAATTCTGGCGATTTTATAGGATTTGATATTGGGTGATTTCACCATGACTTCAATTCTTTTAGTTTTGCTTCTACAGGTATAAATACAGTAGTTTGGCTTTTTCTTAAGTATCTAGTAAAAGGTATAGCTGTTGAGACTAGCATCTCATTTGTTTTGCATTAATTTGATGCTAGAAAAGTGAAGTCAACTCTATGCTAATTAACTAGTTGTAATTTCTGACATGTGTCTGCTGTAAATATTTGCTCTGGCATCCCTGGTAAATCTATACAGTTACTAAGTCATTTGTAACTGCGTTACAGGCTCCAGAAGACGAAGTCTTCTGTAAGAATGTATCCTCGGCTCCCCAGGAAAGAGTAGTGGATATTCTGCTTCCGCATCACTACCACCACCACAAGCACCACCACAAGCACCACCACAAGCATGGGCACCAGCATCTGGGCAGCAGCGAGCTGTCAGAGAAGCAGCAGGCGGGGGCCTCCATCCCTCCGCATCCCCTTCTCGCAGGCCCTCACCACCACCACCACCACAAGCACAAGGGCCAGCACAGGCAGGGTCACCAGGAGAGCTGAGATATGCCCGAGAGTGAAAGTCCACAGCTTTCACTTGCACAGAAGAAGCTCTGACGAAGGGGATGCATAAATCAGCTACAGTGTAAGATGCTCACCAAGTCTGAGCAAGCTACAGGTAGCTGTTGCTGTCACTGTCGACATCTGATATTTGAAAACACGGGATCTGCAGTCACCTGACAGTGTAGAGAAAACCTGCCCGCTCTGTGTAGCTGACAGGGGCGTCTGGCGGAGGAGAACGTCATTGAGTCCTGTCAGTGACGGATGCCTCCCGCTGCCTGACAGCCCGGTCAGCAGCAGCAGCTCAAGCCCACCAGCAGCACCCACTGAAACTGAAAAAATCTGGCAAAAAAGTGAAAATGACCTTCAAACTAAATATTTAAACCAAGCTACCCGAGTACCCCCTTAAAGTCAGTGTCGAAACAATTCTATTTCCAGGATTTTTATAAGCGACTTAATTAGTGAGCCAAAAAGAAAAAGAAAAAAAAAAAAGAAAAAGAATTGGACTTGTGCAAACATGGAGAATTCTAATAGATTGGCTTCCAAATATTAAATTATACATCATAGAAATTTTGAACCAAAAATATCCCTTTCATTATGGGGCAACTGAATGGTGACTGCAGTCTCTGGTTAATACGTCTTTCTTTTTCTTTTTCCAACGTTCTACTTGCATTCATGAGAACAGAAACGTAAACTATGACCTAGGGGTTTCTGTTGGATAATTAGCAATTTAGAATGGAGAAAGAACAACAAAGACGTGTTTTCCATTTTTCTTTACATAACTCTCACAAAATATTACCTTTATAATCTTAAAATTTTAACTGATTACGTTTTTAAAGAAAGTAGATTGTGTTTTTAACATCCAGAAACACCTAACATGTGAATATATCCTACTAAAAAAGCAAGCATTTAAGACTACATTGAAAACATACATTTATCTTTTGATATCTAACTCATAATTCTATTTTTACTTTCATATATAAGTAAAGCCTTTGTATCTTACCTTTATCTAGCATTCTATCACACTCTTCTGGATTTTTAGTGGTTATCTTGAAAGATGTAAGGAGAAAGAAAAGAATGCTGTTAGCTTTGGACTGCTCAGATAGTATTTCCATGTCAATGATGGTTTAACAGGTAAACTAAACCCTGTGAACCTGAACTTCTTTATGGAAAATACTATTAAGAAAGAATGTAGGTTACAGTTGGTTGACATATGGATTTGTTTAAAAAGCTCAATAAAACATTTAAAGTTGTCTTTTTTTTTTTTATTATTTGGGTGGTATGCTTACATTGGAAATAGAAGCAAATTTCTTTTATTGCTTTTGAAGAACTTAAAGAGTAACAAATGAATTTACTGCTCTTCTCAAAATCGTCTACGCTTAACATGAGCATCTTTGCCGACAGAAAGGCGTTGCTCTAAATCATGGATGGTAGCACGAAGAACGGCAATCTCCTTATTTTTTTCTTCTTGAAGATGTTGAAGCTTCTAACAATGGAGAAAAAAATATATTATCTCGATTCAGAAATAAAAGACTAAATACAAGTAACAATAAGGCAACAATAAAAATACATTTTCATGTTTAAATCTGTGTTTAAAAATATACCTTTGAAAGTTTTATAGTTTCAGCTTTGAGTTACTTAAAAGTAAAGCAACCCCTGTGAAATAGGCTGTTGACAGAATAATTTTTATACAAGTGAAATAAGAAGATGTTATTTTCCTAAGCAATGGTCCCGGGGAAGGCGCACGTACCCTTCTGTAGATGCTCTGTGGCAGCAGGGTAGCGTCCGGGTACGGCTTGGCCTTGGTCTGAACTCTTGCTAGTTTGGCATCAAACTGAACCAAGTTTAAGAAGTAGGTTATTAAGAACATTCTAAAACAATTAGGAACAATCATTTACATAAATACAAGTATACACCATGTTAATTTAAGTACATTTTCTACATAACATATTATGAAAACAATTAAACAGTTTTAAGAAAAAAGTAAAAAACACTCCAATAAGATTACCCTGATTCCATATTAAAATTTTCTGGAGAGCTTTTTGAAATGATCAAATACCTGGGTACCACCTTAGAGATTCTAGGATGTAGCAAGTACCATCTTTTCTCCAAAATATCAGGTGACTATTCGCCCACCAGGGTTGAGAAGCTAGTTTAACTTAAATATGGATAAAAGCAGTCTCCCGTTCCCATGAGCCTGCCTCTGCAAAGAACACCTAGGGCAATCAACAGCATGGGAGAACAATTCATCACAGTTTTGTAGAAACACGGAAACTTAATGTGAGAGATCGGGTGAGATTGTGCTGACGTGTTTTGAACTCTTGCTGGCTTGAATTTAATTGAATCAGTTTTAAAATTTCTCAGATGACATGCTTAGTGGACAAATACTTTTTGCAGAACATTTTATTAAAATTCTTCTCTTCAGATTTAGCTTATTGTAGTCTCTATGGATTAGGAATAAACTCTGTGACACTGTGCTCCGGTTTGGGGAGAGCAAATGGTAGTTATGATGAGGAAAACCAACAGAGTTTTGATTACCAATCATATAACAGGCTTGGGGTAGTCCAACGACAGGGTTCAGACGGTGAAGAAAATGCAAATTCCCAGCTAGCAGATTGGGAATTAGTGGTAGATCTAGAAATGAGACCTATGACATTGTAGCTGGTCTTGCAACCTTATCTGCTGCTTGGGGTACACTTGGCTAAAAGTGGCAGCTGCAGCCAACATCCTCTATAGCCAATAGAAACGTCCTTCTGCCTAATGATCACACATGGCACCGTACCAAACACATCAGAGGTACACAAGTTATGAGAAAATCAACTAAGTAACTTAACTAATACTTGTAAATCTGCACAACAGAAGGTAAAGTAGAAATCGATCCTGGGGAAGCCAATGGAAGAATGACAGAAAGGGAGATGGGTGGAATATAGAAAAAAATTTGAGAACAAGTATCTTGCCAAAATATCAGTAATTTTGGAGAGTGACATCAATGACATAACTGCAAATGGTTCAGAGCAAAGAGCAGGAGTTTCAGCCTATAAGATGTCCTATTTGAAGTCCCTTAAACATTTTAATTGAGGGATCTGGTCTAGCTTATCTGTATACGTATATATATATTTTTCAGGGATTAGGGACAATTTTGTCTCTGCTTTTTTAATCTTTGAATTGTTTTTATTTTACTTTTTATTTCATGATACAACTCCATAGGCTCTAGAATTTCCCTTACCTGCCCCCCCCAATCTATTTTTATCCCAAATAAAACAAGAGGAATTTCTAGTTGGCTTACAACTTTCCATAATGTGCGCCAAGGAGAAAGCAATAGTCTCCTAGAATGCTAGTCCCTGAAGTCTACACGGAGTGGCTGTCAAATGTGGGTAATCCATGACCTAGCTGTCTCCTTGCCCAGAGGAAGCAAGGGCCTTTTGAATAGGGCAAGAGTGCCACCTTCAGGTCAAGCGTAGCTGATGAGTGGTTCCGTGGCACCTGCTGCAGGGCGAGCTAGTATAGAACCCACAGAATTGTTTCTAGTCCTGAAATGTGTCTCATTGTGATAAAAAAAAAAAAATAAACAAAGGGGGGCTTACAGTAAGAAATGTTTCCTTTAGTAAACACTTACCTCTAGCTGTAGTTTGATTATTTCATTTTGTTTTCCTTTTTCTTGAGTTTCTAATTTTATTTTTAACTCTGAAATCTCCATCTCCTTTTTCTTGATTAGTTCTTTGTATCTTTCTTCATTTAACTCAACTAAATAAAACGAAATAAAATTCAGTTAATGTTTTACATGTGATTTGTGTTTAAAAATCCACAAAATAAAATTGCGAAATAAAATACGTTTTAGAAAGTTTTTATGTTTAGGGTAGCTTCTATGCACTTTTAACACAGCTCTAAGCAATATCTGAATCACAATGGTCACTTATCAATACCCTCACATAGCTAAGGCCTAGAAAATAAACAGATTAAAAAGATGGCGAGTGACAGAAGCCTGGGATCCTAGACCCAAACCTTTAGTTTCAGAGAGCCCTCACAGTCCTGTTGTATCCTTTTATGTAATCAGACCTCTCTCACATCCAATTTTCTCAGAACTTTCTTATTTCTGTTAATGGCTTCCTGCCATACAGGATGGGATGTTAAAGAAAAAATTAATTTTTACAGCAAAAAAGAGTCAATTAGTCCACAAACCGCGTGACTCAAGAAACTTCACACATAAGCAGCATCCTACGTACTGTCAGGATACTTGTTTCTTCCTGTGGATTGTCCCGTCTCTATCCAGGCCCCGCCCATCCAGCATTGCCGGGTCATTCTTTCTAAAGAACTCCCCCAAGGATGCCATCCCCTTCTCAAAGACCTCCAGTTAACTCCCAGTTGCTTACTCTGACAACTAAGAGACCACAGGCTCTAGTCCTAGCCACAGTTTCTGACCTTTCTCTTTCTAAATACTTTTGCAAAAAAAGGGTAAGAAACAGATTGCTTGGGAAATCCTTCTCCAACTTTTGCTGTATTTGTGAATCTTCTATATTAGGTATGTTTTCTGAAAACAGCATATTAGATTTTAGTTTGTACTCAAATATGATAATTTGTCTTAATTTCAATATTTAAGTTTAATTTAATATGTTTACTAACATATTTGGGTTTAGATACTCAGGATTATTTTCTCTTGTTTTGTTTCTTATGTCCCTCTTTTTGCCTTCATTTGGACTGAATGTTATTTTCCATTTTTCTTCTCTTTGACCTTTTTTTTTAGATTTATTTTTATTATTATTGTTTTTTATTGGAAAGGTGGATATACAGAGAGGAGAGACAGAGAGGAAGATCTTCTGTCCAATGATTCACTCCCCAAGTGAGCGCAACGGCCGATGCTATCCGGTCCGAAGCCAGGATCCTCTTCTGGGTCTCCCACGCGGGTGCAGGATCCCATGCTTTGGGCCATCCTTGACTGCTCTCCCGGGCCACAGGCAGGGAGCTGGAAGGGAAGCGGGGCTGCCAGGATTAGAACCGGTGCCCATATGGGATCCCAGGCGTGCAAGGCGAGGACCTTAACCACTGCGCCACCGCGCCGGGCCCTCTCTTTGACCTTTATACTCCATAACTTGATCTTTTATTTTCCTCTTCCTTTGTATTTATCCTAATGATCAGGTATATTTGACTTATTAGAATCTAATAAAATTCATACTTTTACCACTTTATGGACATTATAAAACTCTTACAATGAGGGCCTGGTGCAATGGTTCCACAGCTAAACCCTTGCCTTGCATTAGCCAGGATCCCATGTGAGTGCCCGTTTGTGTACTGGTTGCTCAGTTTCCCATCCATCTCCCTGCCTGTGGCCCAGGAGAGCAGTCGAGGATGGCCCAAAGCCTTGGGACCCTGCACCTGCATGGGAGACCTGGAAGAGGCATCCGCCTCCTAGACTTTGGATCGGTTCAGCTCTGGCCATTGTGGCCACTTGGGGAGTGAACCAGCAGATGGAAGATCTTTCTCTGCCTCTCCTTCTCTCTGTAAATCTGTCTTTCCAATAAAAATAAATACCTCACAATACTTTAATGCCATTTACTGTTTCTTATATTTTTTAAACTTTTTTTTATTGTATTGACTAAATTAGAATTATGTTTCTTTAAGCATTCCTTTCTTATTACAGTTTTAATTTAGAGTTGCTCACAAGAGAAATTTTCACAAGATTTGGAATGTGAAGTAAAGCAGAAACTAATTTCCTCTGCAGGTCAGTGGAGAATGCCAGGTGCTTTGCGGCTGACAGGAGATGCTGCTGGTCTTCCGGCTCACTCTAGCGGCAGCCATGGGCGTCTGGTCAGTGTAGAGCACCAGGCCACGCTGCAATTCCTGTAAGCTGTCACTAACCACTGGGCTCCGTCACTGCTGCGTGGGAGCACTGGATCTCATCACATCTGAAGCTCCCACCAGATCTTCTTTCAGGTTTTGTGAGTCTCAGGCCAAATGTCTTTGTAACTCCTGGCAACTTTTCCTGCTGGTTGCCATAGCAGCAAGGTTGATGGAGGTCCAGGAAAAGATGCAAGCTCCAGATAATCCTCTTTCTTTCCTACTTCACATCCAGCTTTTCCTTCTCAATCTTATTGATCTTTTGACTCCAGGATATGATATGCATAGAGACGGGTTCACTAAGGAACATATCTACTAGCCACCTGAAACTAACCTTCAATATAGTCTTGTGAGAACTAATTTACTGAAAGAAGAAAATGTTATTAATAAAGTTATATTCAATATGCTTAGTAAATGAATACAAAAGTTATATTATATCACATAAAACTTATCCTAGTTTTAAAAGGATAGTAATGATGATTTTAGTGTAAAATCATGAATCAAAACGTAGAAATGTTATCTTTATATAACATAAATATACAAAAAGATTAAAAAAAAATTAAAAGAAAGTAAAATACGTTAATGAATACTAGTTACAACAGAAAAGATAAACATGTACATTAAAATCATTTCATAATGTCTTTAAAATTCAGTAAATTTAAACAATCTCACCTTTTTTCTGCATTTCTTGATAAAGATTGCTTATTTCTAACTTATGATCATCCTCTTTGATTTTCAGTTCATTTAAAAGTTTGGCAATTTTATTCTTATATTCCTAGAGAGAAAATGTATATTAACTTTTAAAAATTATATTAGTATATAACTAACTTTTGATTAATGAATAAGGTAAACTTCTCAGTTTATATAAGTTTTTGCTGTGTATTTACATCAGGGAGGGGCAGCATTTATCTGCAGTGTACAAATTTTTGACCTATTTCTTTTTTTGTATGTGTACAGTGAACATATTTAAATATCGCAACCGTTTTGGTTTTTCAGTTGACAAAAATTATGCCTTATGCTGTACAGTCTGTTGTTTTAAGTACACATAATCATGTGGAATAACCAAATCAAACTACTTATTATATCTATTTCCTCACACACTTATTTTTTATGGTAAGAACATTTAAAATCTATTTTTTGTCTTTATAGATTTATTTATTTATTTGAAGTACAGAGGTAAGTTATAGAGAAAAAGGAAGAGCCAGGGCCTGGCACAGTAGCCTATGAGTGGCTAAAGTCCTCGCCTTGCAGTGCTGGGATCCCAGATGGGTGCCAGTTCGTGTCCCAGCAGCCTTGCTTCTCATCCAGCTCCCAGTTTGTGGCCTGGGAAAGCAGTAGAAGATGGCCCAAAGCCTTGGGACCCTGGGCCCACACAGGAGGCCTGGAAGAAGCTTCTGGCTTCAGATCAGCTCAGCTCTGGCCGTTGAGGCCATTTGGGGAGTGAATGAGCAGCTGAAAGATCTTTTTGTCTCTCTTCTGCTGGAGACCAGCTCCAGCTGACTTCAGAGCTTGCAAAGGATGCATGGATTGGTGAGATGACAAGAACAGACGTGGACCACTACGATGAGCTCATAATGGATAACTCAGAATAGTTGCCTTGTTTATTTATACAGAAATCATCCTAAGCTTTTGCACAACATCCAATTGTTTTATTTTTACTTTATTGTTAAAAGAATACAAAAACAATCCTAAAAAGCATTATTATCAGTTTACTTCAAAGAAAGCATTTTCAGCAAACCATTACTCATTCAAACCTGCAGTCACCCGGCTGAAGCCAAGAATTCCATGGTTGGCAGCACATGTGGTTACATGTGTCTTACTTATATCCAAAAATCAGTTTTCATTAAACCTAAACTAATATACTTAAAATATCAAGAATGCAAAATTTTAAAAAAGCTTATAAATGAAAGGAATTTATAAAGGTATATATTATAGATTCTTTATTATGTCCATATGCTTTCTGCTTTACGTGGCGGGAAGCCAAAATGTGTCATTTCATGTTTTGCAGTAATTCGAGGCTGTACAGTAAAGAAACTCTTTGTACTTTCAAAATTGCCATCTGTTTCCAAGATATTATCAAGCCAATTCTTAAGGAAAACATCACACATTTTAGGGTAGGTTCCAGGACAAAGGTGAGCACATAATATGATGTTTGGGAAACGTATGTTAGGGCAAGTTCTAGGATAAAGGTGGCACATGAAATGGGAACAATGTGGGCTCAACTGTAGTAGTGTATGCTTTCAGCTGTGTGTCACTGTCTTAAGTTACTAAAGACCCTTTTATCATAACATGATTGCTAAAATCAGTTTCCAGTATTAAATCAGTTACAGAAATCATTTCACATTTGCAGAAAAACACCCTCAAGATAGTTTCATGAAATATCAGAGAGGTAATCAGTGTCCATACAATGGGGTGAGGTAGCCATGAGCTGATGAGAGCCATCCTGCTGGGCCTTGCTACACGGCCAGAAACTCCCCGGAGCCTTGCTAACGGAGGAGCTGTGCCCGTTACACCCTTGGGTCATCTGCCCCAACTGCCTGGCTTCCCGTACTCCTCCTCTCTGTATATCTGACTTTCCAACAAAAATATATAAATCTTTTAAAACAAAGAAAAAAAGGAAAAGGGAGAGACAGAGAGATCTTCCATCCACTGATTCATTCCCCAGAGGGCTGCATGGCTAGGAATGCCCAAGCCAGGAGGCAGGAGCTTCTTCCAGAACTCCAACATGGGCAGCAGGGGCCCAAACATTTGGGTTATTTTCTGTTGCTTTTTCCAGGCCATTGGCAGGGGGCTGGATGGACAGTGGAGCTGCTCGAACCACTGATGATATGGGATGCTATCATTACAGGCAGAGGGTTCCCCATGCCCTAATGCTAGTCAGTGTGCACCAACACCCCCTTTAATTATAAGAGAATACTTCAGGAAGTTCATGCAATACGGAATTTAAATAAAATTTTGCCTTGGTTTAAAGCATTCTGAAATCTGCACATTTTGCAAGTTTTCAAAAAGTTCATGAAAACATGAATTATGAAGATACTATGCATGAGTTTAATATTTTTGCACCAAGATAAGCTTATCTTCTAAATTTCCATGAAGTTTTTTGAAGTGCCCTCATGTGTTGTACAAATGTTACCACGATACTGTTCCCATAGGTACAACAGTCCTTTAGAAGGATTTAATTTGTGATTCATATAAAAGAGCCCCTTTGTTTAGATGGTGCAATAATTATCCAGCTCACAAAGGGTGCGCAATTGTCTACTACACAAGAATTTAAAATGGCTCATCAGTAGAGCTTCTTAAGAGTAAAAACTGTGTGAAGACAACCGAAAAACATCTAGCAGAATAACTGATTCCCTTTCTGGAAGAAGAGCAGCAGTGCATGCAATATATTAAGTATATTTTATAACAGACTAGAGTTTTCAAAATCAGTATTGGTTTTAAAGTAAATTTTCACTTATTAAAGATGATGATTTTTTTTTTCCCACAAAGTTTGTAGAAAATGTAATCAAAAGGTAAGTTTATTTTATTGCAAAATAAATCTGAAGTTCAGGTATAGTTTGCCTGTAATGTATGTTTTCCATAAACTCTCTGAAGACCCTTTGCATGTGTGTGTACTTCCGTGTATATTTTTACCTGTGCTTATTAATAAAAATAATCATGGCTGGCACCATGGTATAGCAAGCTAAGCTTCCACTTTGGTGTCAGAATCCTATAAGGGCACCAGTTTGCACCCCGGCTGCTGCACTTCTGATCCAGCTCCTTTCTAATGGCCTGGGAAAGAAGTTGAAGATGGCTCAAGTCTTTGGGCCTCTGCACCCATCTGGGAAACCCAGAAGGTACTCCAGGCTCCCAGCTTTGGAGAGGCCAGCTGTGTCCACTGCAGCCACTTGGGGAGTGAACCAGCTAATGTAAGATCTCTAGTTCTCTGCTTCTTCTCTCTCTGTAAATATGCCTTTTAAATTAAAAAAAAATAAATAAGCTTTTAAGAACAAATAAAGCAATCTCTTTTGCCTAATTTGTAAGGACAATGCTTCCCAGGTCCAGCACAATGATGCATACATTCACCTGCTCTTGTGATTTCGACCTTTCTTTTATAAGATCAGCAGTTCTTTTCAGATGTTCATTTTCACCTGTATAGAAATAACAACATGCGGATCACTTCTCAACTAGTATAGGAACATTTAACATTTTAGCTCCTATTCCTATGTGTATTCAACAAATCTTCTCTAGCACTGTGATAAACCTTTGGAATGTAAAAACCAAAAAATTATCACTTTTCAAACAGACAGATTATATATACACATTATATATAACATATATATTATATATATATTTATATGCTATGAAAATGGCAACTTATGAGCATCCATGCTTTCTTTCTCTCTGTCTCTCAAGGTGGATTTTGTAAAAGAGATGAATATTAAAAATGGTATGCTGAATCTGTTGGCTTCTCTAGTTTATGACAAAAAATTACATGGTTAACTATTATAAGTTTTGCAGGGACTAGTCATGGCTTAACCAGCAAACACCCCCTGCTCCAAAGTGAACAATGAGCCCTTACAAACCAAACATTAAAAATGCAAACATTTGAGTTAATAAAAAGAACTATTATGAACTATTACAGAGCTTCCCCTGACATACCTGCCGGAATGTTACTCAGCTGTTTTGTTCCGTGTAGCATTTATTTCATAATCGTTATCTTATCCTTGGATAATAAATTGAATATGATCAAATGAAAAGGAACTTATTGTTAATGATACGAAAATTCACTGTGGGCGCCCAAGCAAATCATGTCACCTTACCTTTCAAACCGTGTTGGTATTCAATGGTCTGCTGTAACCCCTTTATCATATTATGAAGGGCAGCACATTCTAAAAATAAAAAACAAGTAAATTTGCTTGTAAAGGTTTTCATTTTTGAATCACTCTCTCAGTTGAAGTCACTGAATAATAACTAAAATAATATTTACTTGATAATTAAATATTAAAGCAACCAGGCATCTGAAAGAAAATTCTGTAATATTTTAGAAATTCTATTTATTTATTTGCTTTATTTGAAACGCAGAGTGGCAGGGATATAGAAAGACAGTTCTTGTCTGCAGGTGCATTCTCCAAATGCCCTCAACAGCTGGGGCTGGATGAGGCTGCAGCCAGGAGCCCGGAGCTCATCTGGATCTCCCACACAGTTGGCAGGGACACAAGTCCTTGAGCATCACCTGCTGCCTCTCAGGTTGCAAATTAGCAAGAAGCTGGACTGCAAACAGAGTGAGAACTCCAAGTCAGGCCCTACCACACAGGACGCTGCCATCCTGAGCGGTGTCTTGACCACTGTGTCTAATGCCCACTCCATACAGTCAAGTTGTAATCACCCTTTCAAATCAAATGGATTCTAAGATTTCATAATGAATTCTTAAAAACAGAGTATAGTTAGGATCCTCCCATGTATTAGAAACTTCTGCCCTATGAGTAAGTCATACTTCATCATGTGTGGGAAGCTTTGAGGGGCGTATAAAGTCTTCTATGAAAGAATATCCTCAGGAAAGATAATCAAATACACCAATGTTTGTGCAAAGCCAGATGGTCAGAGCTGGTGAGAAGGTGACAGAGGCTTTCCTTACTGCCCTCTAACTTGTCATCATGCTTCCTTTTTTTAAAAAAGAAGATTCATATATTAATTTATCTGAAAGGCCAAGCTTCAGAGAGAGAGAGAAAGAGAGAGAGAGAGAGAGAGGGAGAGAGAGAGAAAGAGAGAGGGAGGAGATAAGTGGGGAAGGAGGGAAACAGAAAACCAGAAAATCTTTTATCCACCGGTTCACTCTCCAAATGACTGTAACAGCCAGGTTCGGGACAAGCTGGACAGGAGCCAGGAATTCCACTCTGGTCTCCCATATGGGCATGCCTGAGTCTCAGAGCAAGAGAATAGCAATAAAACTATGATATCAACAGCTTCCGATGTAAAGGGAGATGGAGTATTTACTGAAATGTTAGTGTGCTATAATCAAGCCTTGATTATACTCAGGAACCACTAGCAACAGCTACATAAACAAAATCACAAATACATGTATACGTAAGTATTATATAATATATATTTAAGATTTTGTTTATTTCCTTGAAAGTCAGAGGGAAAAGGGCAGCAAGACAGAAAGAGGTATGGCAGATGCGACACCCACTGGTGCATTTCCCAAATGGCCCCCGCGATCAGGGCTGGTCCAGGAAGCAGGCCGGGGTCTAGAGCTCCATCTGGCTCTCAGCTGTGGTGGCAGGAACTCACACAGTGGGCATATCCAAGGCATATCGTTAGAGACCTGGACTGGAAGCAGCTCAGCCAGGACTTGAAGCAGAGCTGCAGCACGGGGCGGCTCTGCAGGCAGTGACTTCACTCACTGTGCCACATCTTTGGTGGGAGTGGCAGCAGACATCTCTGTGGTTTCAGCAGTCTACTTGTGCGATTAACTTCACCACAGCACAAGACTGTTTCTATTTTGTTACACATTTCATCCAATTATTTGAAACAGTGTGATACATAGTAGGCAATCCATAGACCTTTATTGACTGATTGACGGTAATATCTCAGTAAGCTAGAACAGGAGGGGCATAAACGGAGCAAGCTCTGGCCCGAAAATGCCATTTATCTAATTGACTGAGTGAAAGAATCTACACTGTGCTGGGATAGTGCAAAATCTCTCACCTTTCAATGAAAGGTTTTCCTGCTGTCTCCATGTGCTTCATTCAATAATGCATATAAAGCAAAGTATTTTTGCAAATTTTTAATGCAGATATCAGGTTGTACGATTGCAATCTTTCACTTCTTCCTATCCTCACTGTCTTTGAGTCATAGGTCCCACTTGCCTCCACTTTCTCTGCTGTGCTATTTAACAGTATTTAGAAGCATTTATTGGCATTTACTGTTTCACGTATATTATTGTGCTAGATGCTACAACTCAAAATCTACAAAAGCCTAGATACTGCCATCACTTTCCTTTGTGTGTTTGGAGTACTGAATATGGCGGTTCATGAATTACAGGGGTTAGAGTTGAAGTTACTTCAGTAATCAGAAAATTGAAAACAGCCCCGCATCTGAAACTGTAGTTTTAAAAAGTGCATTCAACCTTTGAACACAAGGTGGCGTGCTAACCATATTTTTCCTTCACTAGGTAGGATGCCATTGGCTAACACAGAATGATGGATTTTAATTCCCTTTGACACCTTAATACGTACAATCCAAAATACACAAAGAACTCTCAGAACTCAAGCACAGAATAACAAACAACCCCAAATAACTAAAGATCAGAACCGATACTTCACCAAATTTGTCATTAGGAAATTAAAAATTCAAGCAATGAGATATTAATAAACATCTATTGGAGTGGCCAAAATATAAAACACTGACAATATCAAATGCTGTTAAGGATGTGGAGCATTGAGTACTCATTCATTGCTGAGGGGAATTTAAAATGGTATGACCTCTTCGGAAAACAGTTTGGCAGTTTTTTACAAAGATAATAATAAATTCTTACAATCCAATTTAACAACTGCACTCCTTGAAATTTACTCAAATGAATCAAAATTATGTACATGCAAAAACTTGTATACGGGCGCCGGTTCTAATCCTGGCATCCCTGCTTCCCATCCAGCTCCCCGCTTGTGGTCTGGGAAAGCAGTTGAGAATGGCCCAAAGCCTTGGGACCCTGCACCCGTGTGGGAGACCCAGAGGAAGCTTCTGGCTTCTGGCTTCAAATTGGCTCAGCTCTGGCCATTGCAGCCGCTTGGGGAGTGAACTATAGGACAGAGAATCTTCCTGTCTCTTCTCCTCTCTGTATATCTGACTTTGCAATAAAAATAAATATTTAAAAAATCACTCTCATTAAAATTCTTATTTCTTAAGGCAAACATTGTGGCACAGTGGGTTAAACTGCTGTCTGTTATATCGAGAGTTGGTTCACATCTGGTTGCTCCATTTCCAATTCAGATCCTCGCTAATGCAACTCGGAAAGCAGTGAAAGGCGCCCTAAGTGCATGGGTCCCTGGCACCCACACGGTGCTCCAGATGGAGTTTCAGGCCGGAGGTGTTGGTCTAGGCCCACCCTGGCCACCGTGGTCATTTGGGCAGTGAATCCGAGAATACAAAACCTTTTGCTTTCAGTGTTGTGCCCTCTCTCCCTCTGTGACTCCACCTTTGCAATACACAACCAATAAATCTTACAGAAAAATGGTGCCACCATTAAAGAAAGAATTAGGATTTCGTCAGGTAGCAAAGAGCCCACCTTCTTTCACCGCAGCCTCCTTCGTTTGCGTCACCTTCAGTAGGCATTTCGTCCTTTCCAACTTCATGTCCAGTATATTGTTCTTCCCACTGGTGTCTAACATTCTCTAGAGAAGAAACAGAACACAGGTCATCTCCGAATCCATGCTACTATTTTCACTCTCTTCTTGCAGATTGAAAGGCTGATGAAAACCTCTTAATAACTGGAAGTATAAACATGAATTGGGCATCTGTTGTTAAATAATTCAACTTCCTGTTTGTTAGAAAAAGTTACAATGAAAAGTGAGCGCATGACCTACCCGGAAGCCCTTTCTTTCCCAGTATTCATTCCTCAGTTCTAGAGTTACCATGCCTTGTATATACATCTTTAGAAATGTATTAATATGCAACTGTAAAAATGATATTACACATTATTCTGCAACTTGGGTTCTACTTGGCACCATTAGCGGAATGACGTCACGTAAGTATGTGCGTGTCTACTTCAACTTTTCCAACAGCTGCACTGTCTCATTTTGGAATAGGCTGTAATTTACATAACTTTATTGAAGAGAATTTTTGCTTATTTTGCTATTACAGGAACATAAAAATTCTTGACCTTGTATCTTTGATATCACATGGACATTTATTCATCAAACAACTTCAAAAATTGTAAGTTCATGACCTGTCTTGTGTTATCGATAACTCTACCCACATCTTTAGCCTCGCCACTTTATCTCAAAGCTATTTCCTGATACTATTTCATCTGCAAATACTGTCATCTGGATGCATATCTAAAAGCCCTTCAAATATGACATAAAAACCACTTAAGTATAAAAAAACGATTGTTTTCTCCTTAGAATGGTTAAGAATATGGCATTTCCAAATTAATCTTCAAGCTTTGTCCTAATTTCTCTCCAATCACCAGCATTTATTTCTTTCTCTTTTCTTTCTTCCTATATTGAGAATCACTTTGCTAAGCAACCTCAAGGTCATTACTTAAAAAGAATTCATATTACCTCAAAAACCCATCATCATGAAAACTGTTTCTTAATGGCATTTGTGTGTGTGTGTGTGTGTGTGTGTGTAAGAGTGGCAGAGAGCAAGAGCAAGAGAGAGCATGTATTCACACATGCAAAGGAAAGAAAAAGAATAAAAAGAATGATTAAATTGGACCCAAGGTAGGCCTTATATTCTCTCCCATTCCTGTTCCATAACTCTATCGCCCAAATCTTTACTTACTTAAATGCTTGCAATGTATCTATTTCTACTCCTCTGTCTGGCAGAGAAGGGGGACAACCCCAGTGCAACTTATACCTGTGGGTTTGGTTGACTGTGTACAGAATGGAGAAGAGGCATTTCTTTATTTCTTAATTATTTGCTTCCATTTATATGTTAGGGGAGCAGCAAAGGAAGCAAGGAGAGGCGCATGTGGGCTATGTATTTACACACACACACACACACACACACACACACACACACACAGGTAGAGAGAGAAATGATCTTTTATCCTGTGGCTCACTTGTCAAATGCCCATAGCAGCCCGGGCTGTCCCAGGCTGAAGTGAGGAGCCTGAATTCAGTCCCTAGAGAGTGGCCAAGGAACTAAGAAATGAGTCATCCGCTGCCTCCCAAGGTGTGGTTAGTAGGAAGGAGGATCAGAGACAGGACCTGGACTTGTATCACTCCTCTATGGGGTTTGTGTATCCCGAGCTGTATCTTACCTGCTGTGCCAAACACCCACACCTGGCTTTAGTTTTAAGCAAAAGAAAAGGAAAACGGAACACATAAGCTAGGAGAAAACTATGCATATGGACATCCCAGGCATTTAGGATGTAACTTCTAAAATCAATTATTTGCTCCTTGATTTAGAAACATTTCAATGTAGTACTACAAATGAATCAAAAATTTAAATACAGCTTTAAATGTATCGTAAGTACAGATTCAAAATGAGAAAAGTCTGAGCAAAATAAATGTTCATTATCATTATCTTGTTCATTTTGGGTGCATTTTTCTTCCTAACTTCATCTATTAGCAAAATTCACTACATTTTTCCTTGTATGTTGTAACCATGTGCTAGCTTTACATACCTTTTCCATCTGTGCGAAGTCATTTATAAGCTTGTCAAGATTCACACTGCCAATCTTTTTCATACATCCTTCACTGTTTTGGTCCATGCCTGAGCAAGTAAATAGTGAAAAAGAAATAATCTAAAGTATCTCAAAAGTGGTCGTAAGTCAAATACCTAATCTTTAGAGACTCATGGAGTACCCACCTTAAGCTCTATTGCACTTAAGGATTTGTCCTTCTCAGTACTAACAATAGTTAACTGTTTTCTCTACCTTTTATTTCCTAAGCAGAATTTTCCCCATATGAAAATAAAATTAGTACAATGATATAACAGGAAATATTTATCCCAGTAAGCAAACAAAAAATTAAAACCAGTGATGCCACTGTGCTGCACTCATCTCTTTGTCATCAATATGGTTGGACTAAAATGTGATGCATATTAAATGCAAGATATTGCTTTTTATGTGTAAGTATTCTGTTTAAGATATTAACTGCACTCATTAGCATGTCATAATTGCTTTCTATTCATGGGCTTATTTTTCATATTTTGTTTTATTTGGAAGTAAAGGAACATGGAGATTAAAATGCTTGATTTGTGTTTTTGTTCTTTTAAGATTTGATTAAGATTGAACTTTTAGTAATAACCAACCAGCTGATGAAAGGAAAAAGTTTCAGTTTCAGTGTTAGAAAATCCATTGTAAGGAATTCCTCAGACCCACAGAAGTAAACTCTTCCATCGAGGATGGAGAGAATGCTTTTCTCCTTATTATTCTTATTTTCGGTCTTACAGTTTTGCAGGTATAGGGTTTCTTCCCTTTTCTCCCCTCCTCATTGTCCTTGTGTTTTACTGTAAACTCCAGCGTTCGATCCTGACATGGGTTATGACATTAAAAGATGAAGCAATGGTAGCGAGTCTAGAGTTCTGTTGTCTAAGTATATTTAGCAGTTTTATCAGAGGTCTAACTTTTATTCAAGAGTAGAGATGCCTACTGTTATCTCTGATTCCTGGTACCCTGGTCTCCGTTACATCCTTTGTGAGATTGTAAGTGCACATTTATTTACCTTTATATCTTTTCATTTTGTAATTTGGATGAAAGTTGCCTTAATCCGAGTGAAGATGTGATATTTATACTTTTGGATTTGGCTCATTTCACTGAGCATAATGGTCTCTAGTTGGGACCACTTAGTTGCTAATGATAGAACTTCATTCCTTTTAATGGCTGAGAGTACTCCACCAAAGTGCTCAGCACTCACATTTGTTAAACAAAGATGTCCAAAAGAAACAGGAAGACAGACTGAAAGCACGAGACTCTTGCCTTCAGGTGTCTGTCCAGCAGAAAGGAGGGCAGATATAAATTTGGAATTCAGACATTTTACATTCTAGAAAGAACATGAGCCAACACTTGGGTTTAATAAATTGGCAACTAACTGGAAGTCCCAAAGTAATGATTAAAAACCAATCGAGGAAGACATTTTTAAAAAAGGTTTCTTTTTATTGGAAAGTCAGATTTACAGAGAGAGGCAGACACAGAGAGCATGATCTTTGGCCTGCTGATTCACTTCCCAAGTGGCCACAACTGCTGGAGATGAGCCGATTCGAAGCCAGGAGCCATGAGTTTCCTCCAGGTCTCCCACCTGAGTGCACAGTCCCAAGGCCTTAAGCCGTCCTTGACTGCTTTCCTGGACTATAAACAGGGAGCTGGATGGAAGTGGGGCTGCTGGGAATACAATCAGCGCCCATATGGGATCCCGGAGCGTGCAAGGCTATGACTTCAGCCACAAGGCTACTGCGCAGGGCCCAGAGGAAGGGATAGCCTTTAAAAGGAAGTATACTGAAACAGTGCTTGCCTGACTATAAAATATTAAGAATTCCTATGTCCTTCTTATTGTTATCTTTACATTGCTAATTACTAATGGTTTTTAAGTCTGAATTTTAACCACAAAATTTCATCTTATCGAATTATCTTTTACTTCACATATATGAATGAAACACTAAATCCCTTAATTAAAACTTAATCTACATGGTAAGAAAAAAAAAACTGTGATATCTCCTCATAATGAATATAGTAAAACTCATTTTGTGATAAAATGGAAAAAATCACCACTATTTGATGTTGTGCCTTAACAGTATTACAAGGTAATTGGAAGAAGTAAATGCAAAACCCAGTTCAGTCAACTTCTTCACTGGAGTCCTTAACATTTGAAGCTAAGAGTTTCATCTCAGAACCTGAGTCCTGAACTAAGCGCTTTTTCACTTGAGCTTGACACTCTCCCGAGATGCCAAGATGACCCCTGGAGCGCTGCGCACTGCTGAGTCAGTAGATTCATTCCTAGGCATCTTCACGGCTCCCATTTGGGGTAACCGCCTTTTGGTACATAAGGTGTTCTTGCCCAGTGAGAACAGATGTCCACACTGTCGCAATGTACTGCTTGTCATTTTTAAGATCTTTTTGAAACGCTGTGACACACAGAAAGAGCAAGAGACAGATCTCTGGATAGCTGGCTCACTTCCCCCAAAGGAACTGGGCGCCGGAAACGACCTCCGCATCTCCCACGTGGGTGCCAGAAGCCCAAGCTCCGGGTGGGCCCTCCTCTGTGGCTTTCCTGGGCGCAGGTGCAGGGGTCAGGATTCCAAGCAGAGCAGCGAGGCTTCCAACCTACCAAGATGCCGGCCACATCGTATCGTGCCTTCCATGCCCAGCTTGCACCAGCCCCCAGCCCAGGGTCCTTCCCCGGCCTCCTGCCTGCCTGGATCCCTCGCCCTGACCTCGGGTGAGGCCTGCCGCTCGTCGCAGACGCAGGGTGGGCAGGCTTCGGTCCCTGCCGCTCCCCTCCTCGCTGCCTTTTGTAAATTCCCTCCATCCTAGCTGGGTCCACCTTGGGGCCCAACAGAAACGTCGGGTATGGAGGGCTGAGGACTCGTGGGTGTGAGAACGCTTGATTGGGACAAAACCCACCGTGTGCCTGGGACAGAGAGGGGATGAAGAAAAGAGTCTCCAAGGGGGAAAAACGCGAATTTGGAACCTCGGATTAAGAACGTGGAGCGTACCTGATGTTCCAGGCCTCTCCCTGCCTTCTCCCTGGGCCGGTCCGTCCCTGGCTGCCGTCCTCTCCGGGGCAGCGGAGTCCCCTCAGCAACGCGTCCGGCCTGCCCCTCCCGGCTAGGGCCCTGTCCTAGAGTTCCCACCCGCCGCGTTCCTACCACGTGGCCTTCTCTCCTCTCTGTGTCTCTCCTGCTTTTCAGGTATTCTCTCACATGATTTCTACAATGGATCCACACCAGTAATTTCCAGATGAGTAACTGTGTCTTTTACCAGAGTAGGTTACAGGTCCTGCGTGATAGCCTAGTGGCTAAACGCTTGCCTAAGCATGCGCTGGGATCCTATGGCCACCGGTTTGTGTCTCGACTGCTTCACTTCCCATCCAGCTCCCTGCCTGTGGCCTGGGAAAGCAGTCGAGGACGGCCCAAAGCCTTGGGACCCTGCACCCGCGTGGGAGACCCGGGGGAAAGTTCCTGGTTTCAGATTGGCTCAGCTGCAGCTGTTGCAGCCACTTGGGGAGTGAACCAGCAGGCAGAAGATCTCCCCCTCTGTCTCTCCTACTCTTTGTAGGTCTGCCTTTCCAATATAAATAAATAAATAAATAAATAAATATTTTTGAAAAGGAAAGAGTAGACCACACTAGTAAAGCTTTGATTTATGGATCTGTAGCATTGAGTAAACAATAGTCTAAATTTATTTTCCTGGCTTATACAGAGGTTTACGAAGTATCACTCTTACTAGTGTTTCCCATCTGCAGAGTTTTGTCTTAGTTTAGAGATTAAGGACGGGGCTGCTGTGTGTATTAAAGCTTCACTTCTATTTATCCATGGGCAACTGGGGCAAGTTTTTAATTACATATGCCTTAGCTGCTATACCTGTGTCATACAGATCGATAATAGGGCCTCTTAGGATGCTGTGATGCATGAATGAAATGATGCACTCGGGGCTCATAGACTTCCTTACTTAAAGTAAGTCTTTAAAAACTGATCGTCGTAATTTTCAAATGTTATTCAATAGCATTTTGGAAATGCTTTTACTGTCAACTTCGTCTCATCTAGCTTTTTCTTGAGTAATGATGAGAGATTTGTTCTTATGAATTTAATTTTTTAATGGGCTGTAAATTCAGCTAGCAGGAAAAAAAAGTGCTAGAAAAACTCACATTGTATTATTAGAAAGCTGTTCCAGCATGGTGCAAGAGAAGTCATAAAAGAAAAATTTAGAGTGTGGTCTTCACTCTTCTGTTCAAATAAGGTTTTCCCCATATTGGTATGAAGCATACAGATGTTGAGAGCAAACAGCTGCCCAAATTGCAGATTCTGTCAAATTAGCATATATACAATGTCATACAGAAAAGTGACTCATGTAACATTAAGTTTTGAAACAATTTTCTTTTATGACTCATCAAAAGAACTGCCTTCATGACACTTAACACAAATGCTAATCAGCAGTGACTCACCCTTCTTCGTGGGACATGTCAGCCTTTGGGTGGCAGTATTACAGCTGTTTGAACTAATATCTTTCTGTGGTTTTTTTTTTTTTTTTTTTTTTTTTGGCCTCTCTGGAGGAGGAATTCTGTTTTATTTGTATGTGTATTTCTCTAAAATACCTTGTCTAGGCAGAAAAAAATAAAAATGAACCAATGCATTAAAAACAAGTACGGAACATGTAGCTTGATTTTTTTTCCATTTTGGAATGAGTCACAATTTTCTCTTCCAACTTATAAATGTAAGCATTCTTTTTCAGAGAATTTTAGTGAGCTCAAAATATGTCTATCAGTGAGAAAATATATGAGTCTCCAATGTTTCATCTTTCAAAAGGGAATAACTCATAGTTGGATTCACAGTTTTGTTATTCATCTAATCATCTAATCGAGAAACGGAATTCTTTGATTATTTGTTCAGAAAGTGCTCATTTTCTGATTGATTACAGCACTGGAAAAGCATTGGTCTTCTAAGAAGAAAGCTTTTCATTTTTATTTTTTCCTTTGCCTTTTTTTTTATTACTATCAACACTTATTTATTTATTTAAGAAATATTGAATTCTAAGCATGTTCTGAGATCTGTAAG